ACGTAAAAAGCAATGAGAGAGAGAGAGACACGTAAAAGCAATGAGAGAGAGAGACACGTAAAAAGCAATGAGAGAGACACATAAAAAGATTTGGAAGAGAGATACAGAGATGCAGTGAAAGAACATATGATAGAAATATAGAGAGATAAAAGCAAAATTTTAAAAAGAAAAACTTTAAAATCATTAAATTTTCAAGTGACATTCTTCAAAAATTATGACAAAAATTTAAAATTATCATTTTTAAATATTAAGTGTCAACATTTCAAATGTTCAATTCAAAAACTAAAGCATTAAAACAAAAATGACATTTGAATTTAATTAATTTAATTAAATCAAATGTCATTGAATCACATTTCAGCAAAGTACCAACAGTTATAAAATTGTTCATCATGAGGTGAATCTGTGAAATCTTCATATTTGACAACTATCTCATCTCAGATCTATTTATGATGTACAACAATGGTTTACCCTTGCCTAGAGCCAAAAAGATGCTACCTCAAGATAGATTTTTCTAATTTTGGAACTTTTCTTCTCTTCTGATAAACAGCATCTACCTGGCCACAGGAGTTGAACAAATCCCCACATAAAAACAATGGAAATGTTTCACACTGTAACTATTTAATTCTATAATTTATGAGCCAAAATATAATCATCAAAACAATGGCAAGATATTTGTCTGAATAATTCTTTTGATTATATTCAGACTTGTCTTTTTTAAGAATCTACCATAACAATTACAGGGATTTAACTTAAAATATTAGAGCAGTAGCTGTGAATGTCAAAGTAGTCATGTGCTGAGGAGTCAACAAAAATCAACAAGGCTGGGATTGTTGACTAGAATTACATGGAAATGGAAAGAAAATAAATCTCTTCATTAGCAAATGACCAAACAAGAATTGCTTAAATTAAATCATTTTTATAGAAACAGAAAAATCTTCAACCACGGAAACTTGATTTGGCAGCCACCATGAAGTAGAATCAAGTGAGAATTACAAAAATATAAAAAAAAAAATATATGGGCACACATTTAAAAGCCAAGCAGCAAAAGTTCTTGCAAAAATCTTTTAAACACATAGCAGTTTTCAAGTGAATGACAGATATGCATTCTAGAATGTCCTCAACTAAAGTAACATTTGATTTTCTCAACTCATATTTATTTTTGTTTTTTTAAATTGGTCTGAACAGAAAGGAAATTTGCATTTTTTCAGGCTAGAATTGTATTTTCAAATCCTAATAAAAAAACAAGTACACTTTGTTTATTTCAAATTATTCTCCAACTTTTTTGTATTTTTAATTATCAAAGATTTTGAGAAGAAAAATGTTTCATTTATTAAACCAAAATTTGTCAATTACTTTTCAAAATTATAATGCCTAGCATTTATGATATTTGGTATAGTGATTTTCCTAACATAGCTTAGATGTGGCACAGGGCCGAAAGTAAGGAGCACCCAGTGAGGATCAAACTCACTACTCAGTTGTAATTGTTCTAGCAAGACAAGCTTTCTAACCATCACACTGCCTCAAGGTGCCCAATGATATTTGTTATACAAGATGCCAGAGAAATTCAAACTCTCACTTTTTAGAAAACACAGTACATGTTATGACCAATACAAGAAAATAAAACAGTAACCACTTTGAAAACTAAAATAACAATTGAAAAGGTTTTTTAAACTTTGAAATCAGAATCATGAGTGAAGTGAAAATTCAACATTTAGGGACAAATTTATGAAATCAAAACATTAACAATGACTAAAATAAAACATTTTCCAAATTTGTTTGGTGGTGACTATCTGTTGTTTGTAATTGGAGAATAAATTAGGAAAATGATAAATTCTTTGGTCAAAAGAAAAGATAAAAAAAAAAGTTGGAATTCAATATGAAAAAGACTAATAAAAATAAAGTGATGTGGAAAAAGTTTGTGAAAACATGTTCAACTTTAAAATTGAATTCATTTTAAAAGTAGAAACAGTAAAAAGAGATTCAAGTAAATCTTTTGCATAATAATGATGTCTGAATGCTAGAGTGACAAAGTCAAAAGGAAAAGATATCCTTTTGAGGTTACCAACTCTAAATTCCAACTTATTCTTCTTATGTTTAATATTGCCAACGATTTTGTCATCAATGCTTCCATAACTGGCACAATCTCAGGCATTTTTCTCATAATGATTTGGTCTGAGACAGATTTAAAAAAAAAAAAGAAAAAGGCCATTATGTCACTTGCTTCAAAGCATAAACTTATTCAAATTTCCTCTATTAAATAAGTTGTAGGAAAAACGTTTACAAGATAATCTTTTCACTCTTTTTTGTCTTACAATAGCATAAAGCAGACTATAAATGCCAATGTCAGTGTGTCACACTTTTTCAATTAAAGGGACACAACTCTCAAGAGGTCACCTTCATCACTGAACTTTTAAAAGGTAAGCCTAAATATTAATGAGATACTTAAATGCAGCAATCAATTTTAAGCTCTTCTGTAGTTTATTGTTGCCTATCACATCTACTCTTCTCTACCTATTGTGTTCAAGGCACAATCAAGAGCCGTCTGCAAGATCTAGCTTAAATTTGGCAGCATTTAAGCTAGTATACACACACAGTGTAACAGCAAAATTGTCCATATCATGTAATAGCATACTTAGCCATCCCACAAAATGTTTAATATCTAAAAAACAGTATACTAATGAGTTTCTTTTTTAGAGGTTTTCATAAAAGGCATTTAGCCATGTTGATGCCATTTTTTGTAAGAATCACTGAAAGCCCTTTGAGTTATTCAGCTAAAAAGAAAACAGGTTAATGGTGAATAAGTTTTAAAAAGACAGAACAGTAGAGAAGAAAACTGGATCGGGTCACACCAGGAAGAGGGATCGTCATTTCAAATTAGAGCTAAAGAGATCAATTAAAAAAGATCCAACTCAATTCATAAGACATTTGGCACATGGGAAAGAAGTTTCAGCTATGACAGTTCAAAGAACAGTGAAAAAAAAACTTGAAAATGAAATCATATGTGAATCCTGTAAGGTATCTTGTTACCAGGACAGAAAATCATCTTGAATAAGTTGAGGAAAATAATCCTGGAATTTTTCCCTATCTACTGCTGACATGCTCACAGCCATAACTGAAGTTGTATACCAAGCACTCAACAATAATGGAGAAGCTCGAGCCATGGCTCTAAACATCTCTAAAGCATTTGATAGGGTTAATATTGCCACAATAACAAAAGAAAGGAAAACTGAAAAACGAGGTAGCTAAACGGTTTCAAACCTTACTCAACAGAGGTAAATCAACATTAATAAATAGGTATAATATGAATAAAAGTAATAGGTAATATGTGTATTTTTTTTCCACATACTCTCCATTCCTTTTTTTTGCTATACCTATTTATTAGCGTTGATTTACCTCTGTTGAAGTCTGAAACTGGTTAGCTATAGCTCACTTTTCTTGTTCTATTTTAATTGTTTGTTATTATGTGTGGTAAACAGACAAAAATAAATTGTTTGTTTTTTGTAGATATATATATATATATATATATATATATATATATATATATATAGTGAAAAGCCTCTTGGGATGAAGTATAAACAATAAACTGGTTCAAGTGACTTCCTCACTTGCCAACAGTTTCATTTCTCAATTAAATCATTCTTATAAATAAATATTACTCTCCATTGAATTATTAGCAACTTTTAAATGACAAAGGACGTAAATCAGCTGAATTAGATTTTTTTTTCAAATGAAAATTGAAGAAATATTTATGATGATTTTAAGATAATTCTTCAGTAAATATAGATTTTGAAGAAAGAACACTAAAATTAATTCTTTCTATTTCCTCAGCAAACATATTCAGCATTCAAGCAGCAAATCTTTAGTGACAAGAATCTCACAAAATCAAGAAATGTATCTATAACCTTACAAATTCCTATCTAAGCTATTTTTTTTCTTTTGCTTCTTTGCTGAAATCTATAGGATACACAAATAAAAAAATTTTAAAAAAAACTTGATCAAATCATCACCATAGAACGCAAGCAGAGCTTTCTATGAAAAACAAAACACTCACCTTTCATCAGCCAATTAAAACAGAACAATGATGAAAGACAATTTCACCTGCAAAACCAAAGATGAGGTAAAACATTAGTGTAGGGATTGTATGCAGAGTAAATGGTACATTGGAAACCATCTCAAAGACACTGGAAGCAAGATTGGAGGAACTGGATATATGAGGGAGGGTCAAAACTACCCAAACTATGGAATGAAAAAGAGTGCTGAGGAAAGCATTAGAGACTAGCAGTTACTCGATCATCAGTCACAACGACCAGACACATTTTCACAAGAATATTCAAGTGCATAAATAATAATACACTCATCTTCAAGCGAAATTGATATTTAGAATGATCTGAGAGGTCAACCTGCAAGAGTTATAGCTTGAAACCTTCAGACTTATTGTATATTCTAGTTGTTAAATAACAGCCATTATCATATGAATAGAAATACAATGAAAATCTAATTGCAACTAACAAGAATAGTATCAATTAGAACTAGTAATTAAAATGATCTAATGCAGCTCATCTAGTCTGACAGCCGTTTGATGAATTCAATGGAAGTTTGGTCAATGTCAAAAAGAACCATTCTTTCACTTTTTCCTTCAACAAATTACCTTTTAGGTTACAATGGATTATGGTATGTCTCTAAAAGTCTTTGAACATATCTTTTGTGAAAGAGAATTTCAAAATAATAAAAAAAGATGAGGATGTTAGTCTATAGAATTAAATGAGTAGAGAAGAGCAGGCAAGATGAGGCATTAGCAGCAATAGAAAGATATTTTATTTGAATGCAGGTGCATCCTTCAGGTTCAGTCAGTTTTGTTCAGAAAAAGGGTGGATTTGTTGGTCATGTGTGTGAGGAAGTCAGACACCTGCTTCAAGTCGGAAAGAGTGTCATCTTCTGCTGGAGTGGCCTGGAGTTTATTCGTCATTTCTTATTTCAGTGCATTTCATCAATTATGGGAATCATTTATTTGACGAATCACTCAATGTGTGCAAATGAAAAGACTCCATCCCAGATGGACACAAGTCAGAAAAGATGTTAGACATTGTCTCTTTAAGTTTCAATGAAGAAAGTTGAATTTCCTGTGCATGGAGGTCATCTGTAAAACAAAAACAAAAGACAAGAACATTAAAACATAATTTATATAATGTTCAATTATTTTAATAGATATTCTCAAGATATTCTTTTTTTTCTATTTATTCACATTTTGTATTTGGGCAGCAATTCCTCTTTTATACAAGTTTCATTAAAAACTTTTTTTATTAATGAAACTTGTATAAAAGAGGGATTGCTGCCCAAATACAAAATTATTAAATTACATGACCCTTGTCAATCATTTTTAATGAAACTTATGTGTTTGTGTGTGTGTATGTATATTGGTGGTGGAGAACTACTTATTGTTGTGTTTCTTAAAAGTTGAACTGTCTGTTGATGTGCTTTGTCATAACAATCAAAACTTAGGTAAACAAAATGAAAATATGGTTAAAATGACTTGCATTGAATTCAAAATATTTTACGCATGGTATGTACTTTCAAAAATAAAAATTCTTTTAACTGTAAATACATTTAAGTATTAATAAAATCTGTGAAATTTAAATATAATCTTTTATCTCTGAATTAAACCTAAAATAAAAAATATTACAAGAAACATGCAGTTGATTATTTTAATGGCAAAAAATGGAAAATAAACAAAGCAAAAAAGAATGATAGATTATATATGGAGAAAAAATAGATGATGTTTCTTACCGGAAAACAGCGAATTTTTAAACATCTCAAACTGAGCACAATTTTTTGTGTAGAAACCATTAAAGTCCAATCTAGAAAAAAAGAAAATTAACATTTTAAGAAATTTTTGTAAAATATAAAATCGTTCTGATGTGATGGGGTTATTAGTCAGTAGGAAATTAGGGTCTTTTATTATTATTGCTAATCAGTCGTCGTCTTACATGTCATGAGTCCATTTTCTTCTTGCTTAACAGTTTCTCAGGCTCAAGTGAATCAAGATAACTTTTCATTTGAGCATCCCTTAAAGCAATAATTTAGCCAGACTGGCTTAGGTGCTGAGATAGTTACAGGTTTCCTCCAAGCATAAATTGGAAGAAATGTGTGCTCAGATAAAACAAAGATTTTAGACTCAAACCTTCTGCCCACAGAGGATAATCCAGGAGGAGGACCTCCAAGCAGTACCTTCCTCATTACAATTAAGTTTAGTAGAAAGCTACTATTTTCAGACTACAAATATGAAACAACAAAAGTTACATGATTTGAGGAGAGTCTACAATCCTGAAAGAATGTGAACAATTCCTTAGAGTCAAAGGGTAAAAAAAAAAGAGAGAGAGACTGACCGACAGAACAAGGTTTGTTCTCCATTTCCTTGAATCATGTAAATCATTATTTTCTCAAGTAACTGTAACATGAGTTGGCTGAAGTTTTGCTCAAATTGGCAGATCATATTCCCAAGATGTTCTGTTGATTCATCATCCATCACTTCAGCCACAACCTGAAAACAGTAAAGCAACAACCAAGTCTGTGGCATAGAATTTTTTATCTTTTTTTATACACATGAATGATAGCAAAGGAAAAAACAATGATTACTTAAAAGTCATGTAATGTATCAAACAATTTTAATAAAGAAGAACTCTAACTTCAAAAGACATTTGCTTCACAAACAAGAATAGTGAATGACTACAATATTTATTTATATTAGCCAATTAATGTTTTTAACTAACATTTCATTTTTGTTGTTTTTATCAGTGTATATCAACCAAAATTTTGTTGCAAGAAAAAAAAATAATTAATTGAATCACTATCTGGTCTTAAAATTTATTCATGACTAATCTACAATCACCCATTGTAAGGGACACAACTCTTAAAAAAAAAAATCAATATTTCCTAATTTAGAGGCTACTTGTCAACATCTAGTGAATAGATAATTCGTGAAACAAGCTTCATTACTTTATTACAGAACAAGTAATTTTTTTTAAACTATTTTCTGAGAAATGACCTGGCCTTCATCAAGTGTATATGATAACAATAAAGATGATCAAACTCATATCATCTAAACCAAATCATATTGGCAAGGTCACTAAAATTTAGGTCATACTGAATGAACAGATAACTAATTTATTATTATATTATAATAACCCACACCCCAAAAGTTAAAACAGAAACTAATCTATTCCAGAAATTCTCTTCAAAATAATCTAAAGGTCTTGAGAATTACCATCATGAGTTTTATATACAAGGCAACTACACAAACTTCTGGTCATCTTTGCTCATTTGCAACAATATTTTGAGTTATGACAAAATGGAAACAATATTCTAATCTTAATATTGGTTAATCATGAAACATCTTTCCAGAATTTGACAATTATTCAGTTCTTACCTTTGCTGCAGTCTTTTTATTTTTTATATCTTCCTTTTGGGTTGCCTGCAAGGAATTGGTCAATGTCACCCAACTTTCCTTAGACTTTGCTTCTAAAGAATCATTTAATCTCTGCAATAAAAAAATCCAAGAGATTTATGCATTCAAAAAATATGTGAAGTATCATGGATGATTGTGTTTAGGTGACACGTTTTTTCAAAGAGCAAAGATTAGATCTCTCTTCAGTAAAAGAAATTTTATTAATTTAGATAAAAATGCCATGAAACTCAAAAATGCAGATATAATAGCTGCAGAATAACATGCAAGATATAATTGCAAATATACAGTAGCTGTCCTTCAGTCAATTTTAAAACAAAAATGAATCTAAAAACATGCTTGTAAGTAATTAATATTAAAAAAGTGTTGCAAATTCTTTTAATATTTCAACAAAATCTTCTAAATAATTTTTTTGTGTAAATCCTTCCCACTTTTATGCTTTTCTTTGGTAAATACTTTCTCTATTTCTTTGTTTTGCCTTAAATGGCCAGCAGTCACTATTGTTTTATATATATATATGTGTGTGTGTGTGATCTTGTGTTAACTTTTTTGTTAACATGAAATAGGCACTAAAAGAAGCATGAATATTTGTTTTCTTTTAAAGAAGTAAATATTTTTATTCTACTAGTATATTAGGATTTTTGACTAAACTATTGAAGAAGACATGAAATCATTCAACATAAGAGGGTTTTTTTTCTGTTTCTTGAACATTAAGTGTATGAGTTTTGTTTTCTCAAAAGGAGCACATCAATGTAGATAGACTTGAATATTATTCTAGAAACAAAATGAATATATTACCGGAGGGCAAGCAGCAAAAATTCTGACAACATATAAGGGAACAAATGTTAAGTAATCATTCCATGTGTCTCAAGGTAATTATTTTCCCACATCTTAAGACATCTAGAATATTTCTCAACCCTGACATTAAATAATCAATTAATGAACAGACTATATTCAACCATTTTACTTTATTCCACTTCCCAAAACATGGAATCTTCAACAATCTTAGGCTATCAACATTGTAATAGTGATAAATAATATGCCTCAAATTCAATTTCAAATACTTAAACAATTAACAAAGTTTGAACAACCAACCTGAGGCTTGAACTTTCAAATGTTTGTTCAGTCTGCCCAGATTTAAAAAGAAGGTACTTCTTTTGAAATTGTCTTCTAATTGCAAGAGATTGGTTAGGTTTTTCATATGTAGGAATGAATTAAGAAAGAACTAATTAAGAGGGGTAATTGATTTTGATCAAGGCAATATCTATAACAGGCCCAGCAGCCATGCAACTGGGGTCCACAACTGGGGACAGATATATAGGCACTTAAATCTCAACTAAATAATCATTATAGAGAAAATTTTTAACAAAGAACTTGTTAGTAATATCCAGTAAATAGTTACTTAGCAACTACTGATATTATTAACAAGCATTTTACAACTGTAACACTTATTGACTTATTTCTGTTAATGTAAATATATAAAACTAACCTCCTCTAAATAAATGCACAAAAATCACTTTATCACAAATTAGAAATATTTTTTAGATGGTATTGCAGAAATAATGAGAGTTTATACTAATTTATCAACATTTTATCAATAAAATTTTAAGATAATTTCAAAACTTTTAGTGTTTGTTCTTGAGTTGATGAAGGAAAATGAAACAATTTTTTAATATATTTGACAATGTCATGCTTTCTTTTTCATTAAAATAATGCATTTCAGAAACTAATATCAAGATTTTTGTCACAAAATTCCAGCAAATTTTTAATTTAGCAACACCAAACATTATAATACAGAAAAACACCAATTCACTGTAGCATCCAGTAGGAATTTTAAATTACCAGTCTCATTCTTTAAAAAAAGAAGGTTCATATTCTTGAAATAAAATGTATTAGCATTAAATATTTAACCTTCTGTAAGACATTTTTTCTTGTAATATAGCTTTTCAAAAATCAAATGTTTGGTATAACATTTCATTCAATAAATATCCACATTTTGAGCAATTATAGCCTGAATCAATGTTGTATTCTTTAACATCAAGATTCAGTTGAAATAATTTAGTTCTTTTCAATAATATTTTGCACTTTTATAAAATATGCACTGCCAAAAACTTATTTCATTTTTTCAAATTCATTTTCTAAATACTCTGTTGTAAATTCAACAAACATAATAAACTTAAATCCACTGCTTAACAAATATCTACAAACATCAATAAAACAATTGCATATGTGCAATGGCTAAACTAGTGTTCCTTACAAATTATTTAATTCTTTTTTCCTTACTTTGCTTCCATTATTTTGGCCATTTTTCCAAAATTACAAAGAAATGTCAGAATACAAGAATATTGCAATCATGAAATTTTGTACAATGCTTTGTGATGACATAATACTGATATGTTCTTTTAAAACTTTTTTATTATTAATTAAATTATAAAAGTTTTAAGTAACAAGTTTAAGTTCTTTGTTCTGTGACCAATGATAAACATTAACATTTGCTATTTTTTCTTAAATTGTTGTATGTGTGTGTTTAACATTCAAATCTTAAGTTTGCAAAAATTCTAATTAAAAAATTGGAATACTTCCAATGAAAAAAAAAAAAATCAAGACTGGATGAACTAATGATGTTTGATTTATTGCATGTAATAATTGAAACAAATTTTCAAAACTGATAATTTTTCAAGAAATTGTATCAACTCATCATTTTGCCCATTTCACACAGAAGTAGAAATTTTATTTGTAGTTCTTGATTTTGGGTGATGACTAGATAATACACTTGATGGCAAATGAGCAAATACTGATGGTGAATTTTGGGGTCATACTTTTCCTCTAACAACCATTGTTTCATAATCAGTTGGAAAATGCCTTTCACAAACTTGGTTTGTCAGGGTTGTTCATCTCATGGTACTGCCATTAGTCATCATTCGCACTCATTCTCCTTTTGGGGAAATCAAATTACATGAACCTTATTTTATTTGTTATAGTTACCATGGCAACCTGTTACACACCACTTTTTAACTATTTTGAGAAAGATTTTGGGATACTGAAATTTAACAATATTAATTAAACTGTTATTTCATAAAAATTACAGGGTGATTCTAAAAATGTTACAAACTTTAGATTTTAAAATCTGAAGGATTTGGAGTTAGGAATTTAGGATTCAGAATCTAGAATTTAAGCTTTGTATGAATGTGGGAATTTTTCCTCTTTTAGATGCTAATATGTGGACTAGGACATACAAATACAGGTTAATGCAACTTGAAAGTCATGAAAATGACATGGTAAATGGCTTTGTATCTTAATAAAGTTGAGTTGTACAATAGGCACTGCAACCAGAAATAATCTTTTTTTTTTATGTTAATCTAAATAAAATGATAAAAAAAAATTAAATATCATAAAAGTTAGTAGGAGATCAAATTTTCTATGTAAATTTGTTATAAATTGAAGCCAAACAAAATGTGATCATATGAGACAATTTCTTAAATTATAAAGAATTAAAAATAAAAATTTGTACATTTTGCATATATTACTATCAATTAAACAATTTTTTTTTACCTGTTAAGAAATCACTTTGTGTGAGCATATTTGTTTTGACTTTTGTAGGGGATCAATTTACAATGAATTTTATGTAACAAACAAGACACACCTATTAATTTCGTAACTGTATAAAAAGGAAAAAAAAATATAAGCAGTAAATTGCCTATATTCCCTGAAGAGTGGACGGACAGATCTGACTACGAAACTCTGGAGTCGAGATGGTGTGTGTGTGTGTGTGAAACATTGAAGTCAACACCCCAAGGCGACAGTCTGTTTCATATTAAATGCAATCATCAGGTACATACCCTGATGATTAAATTTAGCATGAAACAGACTGTCACCTCTGAGTTTTGCTTTCAATGTCCACTTTTATATTTACATATGCTCTATTCCTGATATTTAGCACTTTAACCCATAAATAAAGCATACCTTAAACCTATATATATATATATTATTCATGATCTGGAATACTTCATCTATCGTAATTTGAAAAAATATTATTTATGATTGTAGTGACTATTATATAACTCCCCCATCAGAAGTCTTTTATAAAATTGATGGTAGTATATTTTTTATAAGCGGTGGTAAAATATTAAGTTAAATTTATTGTATCTAATTAAAATATTAACTGTGACAATATTCTTAATAAATGTTATTTTCATTAATTTCACAGTGGAAAAAAAAGTTACATATCTTGTTTATCTACAAAATATAGTAGAAAGAAAATTGAACATACTTCTAAAAGTTTTTTTAAAAGTTGACAAAAATATATTCATATATAATTTTATAATAAATATGTTCATTGTTAGGGAAAAATATTAAGCTTATGTGACAAAATTCTTACTGATGACTTTTTTAGTGAGTTTTGCTGTTTAGAATAATTTAACAATACTACAGAAATGTATTGTTTTGTTTTTAAATAACATTTTTCATTTATTTAGCAGTGTGAAAAGTCACATTTTTCTTGTTTATAAAATAGACGACAATATTAAAATTTAACTTTTTAAAATAAAGTAAAAACACAAATTATTCATTAAAAAAATATAAATTTTATAATTAACATGCTCATTGTTATGAAGAATAATATCAAGAAAATATTTAAGTAACTTTGTGATAAAATTTTTAGTCAATTCTTAATGTCAAGTTTTGTCAATTTCAAATCAAAATGGTTTTATTGTTGTTTTTTTTACAATAAAGTTAAAATTCCACAAGTTTAAAGAAAATGAAGTAAATCAATCTTATACTTACTTCAATGTCTGAAATGATAAACTTATGTTAACCCAAGTGTAAAAAAGTAAAGATTTCTTTTTTAAAAAGACTAAATTGCTTAAACCTATTCAAACAATAAAGTGACTCCCAGTTGAATGTTTGGATTGCACATTTGCATGGCCTCTTTTTGGATTCAATGTAGTTTTGATAAACCAACTCAGCGAGAGGACTTCATAAAGATCAAACCCAAATATCACTTGCAGTTAAACAGATTGAGTATAAAGCAAGCACAGCTGACTGCAGCCTTAAACCAATCATTTAAGGTGGCACTTTCTGGATGGCTAGTCTTAAATAATAACTTGAGAAAGGTAAATATTCAAATTTTAGGGCTGATACTACTAGAAAAATATTCATATTCTTGAGAGTTCAATCAGAGATTTGTGTCAGATGACTTAATTTGGCTGAGGTGATAATAGCTAGCCCAAGACAACAATAACAATTACTGCTATTATCACCTAAGGAACTGACCAACAACACTCAGATGTTATTTTTAGATGTCAACTTAGTTGCTTTTATTTTGAAATCCCAGAAGCCATCAACACTGATTGTGGTGCATGGCTGGTGACAATACTCTGAACATTGAGATCTTTTCAGATCTTAGACACATGGGTATAGGGATCCTCAACTCAGAACATGAGAGGCTAATGATTATGAATTTATTCAAGCTTACCAACATGTTACATTATCACATATTAAGTTCTTTATGTACATTACTTCTCAATGTCGTTCAGCAGCTAAAAGACCTCACTTAATGAGACTAAACAGTTTTTTTTCATATGCAGAAAGATTAGTGCATTGAACACAAACTCAAAACAGACACACTAGACTGACAAGTCACTTACCTTGATGCAATTACAAAAAGTGATGCAGACAACCATCAGTTTGTGGATAATCTGAAGCAATCCAACATTTGTCATCATACAAACTTCAAGGCAACTGTGCAAAAAGTCTCCATGGTGATTCAAAACATCATCAATATTAGAAACCTGAAAATTCAATTCACATGATTCAATCAAACTTTCTCAGGGGCAACATTGTCAGTTATTATTAATCTTATTAGTATTTCCTTTTTTCTTGTTTCTCTTGCATTTTATGACAATTTCCAGATTGTCATTCTGATTGTTAGCATGCAACATGAAGCAAAAATCAAGAATCAACAAGGTTTAGTCTGAAATCCTAATCTATACTCTACTTAGTTAATGATTATAGAATGACAATATCAGAATTGTGATAAAAATCAACAGCACAGCCTAAAAGATTTTTATCCATTAATAAAGAAGGAAAATTGAGGATAAATAAAACATATCTCCTCAAAATTAGTTTTTCCTTATAATTTTTCTGATGAATTATTCCAATTAAAATTTTTATTTATGTCTTGTTGGATTATTTTATATATTTATCTAATATTTGTCTTCTTACTTAAAGGTAAAAGCAACATGTTGATTTGAGAAAATATTGACACTTTGAATATGAAATAATCAGTTTTAAATTTCTGAAAATTACTTTCATAAAATAGCATTGAAAGACAAGTAAAAGTTTGCTTATGCCAATTTTGGTTTCTTAGAAGTATGGAGAGGGAATTGACAAGTTTAATTGTCAGCCTTTAAAAGTTTTGTTCCTACATATAGCATTTATAATATTTCTGTCACTCTCATAAAACATTTCATTTCTACTATCAAATGTCACCTTACTACCAACTGATCTAATATTGGTTTATACATCCTCTCATGTCCACACTATGTGTAACATTTTATATTTCTATAGAATTTTCTCCACAACTATTTAAAATATTAAAGCATACAAGTGTCACTATAATCTTCCAGATACCATCCCTGCTGTTGTTAGTCACCTTACTCCTTAAATTTTTTTAAAATTATTCTATTCTAATGAGAACACTAAAATGCAATAAATGATAATGAATTAAATTCCAGACAAAATTGATAAGATTGGAACATATTTGTTGCAACCATTATTTAAATCAGACAACTTACAATATTACTTTTCTCACTACTACCAAAGAACTGTGTCTAACTTTAAAGGTAAGTAAACAATTGAGAGGCAAAAGAAAAGGAGGTGAGTTTTTTCATGAATTTTTAGAACATTAAGAATATGTTATCAAGATGAATATGTAAATGGTTAATTCAATTTTTAAAGATGTGAATTCGATTTTCCTTTTTTTCTGTTTTATTAAAACATTTGAATCATATCCTTTACACTGTTCCCAAAGTACAAACATGCAGAGTGTGGAATGTGTACAGGGTCCTTGTAATTTGCTATAACAAAGAGAAAAACACTTACTGTTTCCATTCGATTCAAGAAAATGTGCCACTTTGGTTCAATGACTTCAATCATCATGTAATATTCTAAGTTTTGGATAAAATTCAACATCCGTTGACGCAGGGCAAATGCTGCTGTGTAACCTTTGGCTGGTAATAATTTAACAGATTTATTCTGCAGCCACAAGCTTGAAAAAACAGTTTTAATCAAGATTATTTCTTGCAGATTTTGTAAATTAAAATAAAAACATTTCAATGGTCATACCAATAAAATAATTAGAAAGAATCTGTTGAAAAGAATATGGCAAAATATATGATTTGAAAAAGTAACTGAATGCAAAGAAAATGGCATCTCTTCAAGTAAAAGTGTGTAAATGAACCAAATCTTGAAATTTTCTTTTTCCTCACTCACCAATCATTCATTTTTCTCAAGTAAATATTTTCCAAATTTCAAATTATTAAGAAACAACATTTAACTTCTCATTTTCACATCATTTTCTTTAATTTCAAATAAAATTTTAAGGATTTTTTTTTTTTATGTAAAGAATCAGAGAAAAATATTTTTTGCTCTTTTTTCCCAAAGTTACAAATTCAAAATTGACTTGCAGTTGGAAAAAGTAAACAAGTTTCTGAGTCAAGAAAGAAATTTAGAAAAAGAATTCTTTCAACGATAATTTTACGTGATAGCAAAATCTTCATAAGAAGTTGTGGCTATTTTTCACTGATCAGAAATTTAGAATTTCTGGATGTAGTGTTTGTTATTAAAGAATGTTTTTTATATTGAAGAAAAACATAATAAATGGCTGCTGTTGTTAGGAAATTTGGATTTTCACATAAAGACCTCAAAAAACAACTGCTAAGGGAAAAAAAGTTTCAATTTTGAAATAGTGTTAATACATAATCTGTACAGAAAATCGTACAAGAAAAAAAAATTCCTACAAAGAATGAAAAGAAAAAATGATTTAAAGAGATATCTAAACTGTTTCACATAAGTAGAAAAATTTAAGTGTATTTTCCTCTTGCAACAAAACATTGTCAAAACACATATGCAACAAATTGTTGAAAGTGTAACCTTTTTATACCTTTTTTCTTTTAGAATTACATTTTTTTCTTTTATTTCCAAAAATACAAAACAGGAAAAATAATTGTTCATACATAAAACTTCACTTGGTTATTTACATTTCATTCCATATTAATAGTGATTTCTTTTCCAAAGGTCAATTGTACCAACTGAGTAGATAAGAAAAGGTATTCATTCCCTAATCATGTGACAAAGATAAACAGAATTTTACACAGAATTGATACACAAACAATATTTTCAATATGAAAAAAACTCTAAGGAAACTGCTCTAGCTGTTTTTTTTTTATTTTCATAATTTGCTTGTAAATTTTGCAATTCAGTATCTGTGAATTAATGAATTTTTATGAATAGATTTTATAGTAGAACACATTTTAAAACAATGAGAAATTATTTGTATCCATATTAAAATGGATGAACAAGTAAATTGATAAACACAGCTTAACGATGACAATTACAGTCTACATTGAATTGGGAAGATACTTTTTATTTCCAAACTATAATTATAGGTGATTTGTGTTAATGAAGATTTTGGAATTCAATAATTTCTAATCAATTTTTCAGATGTTTATTCTCTTAACTCATCAGATAAACTTAAAGATGATTCAATGCAATTTTTAAATCAAGAACCTTTCCAAAATGGTACAGGAAGTCTACAAAAATAAAATTAAAGAAACTTACTTGCACAGCTGCCTTTCAACATGTTTACAATAGAAAAGTTGTCTGAACAATAACTGGTAGAGCATTAGAGCCTAAAAATGTACAAAATACATTATTATTTAAATACACACACACACACACAGAGTTATGAATAGAATCTTTCAGAGATTTAAGAAGTCTTTGAAAAAATATCTTTTTAAACTCAAATCAATTTTATCATTTCTTTCAATATTCAAAAAAGCATGTAAAAAAAAACTGACTTGAGAATAAAAATCAGCAATAACAACAAAACTGGAAAAAATCCCAATTGTAAATTTTTTTTTGAGGGCGGGGTTAATCAATCATACTTTGATACACAATTAGAAATGGTTAAAGTGTTTTTTTAAATGTTAGCAAGCAATAGAATTTCTTAATTAACTTGGTTTGTATAATACTTATTTTTTTATGCTAGTCTTTGTAAGAAAAATAAATGAAAACAAAACAATGAGGTGAATAGTGAAAGTACTCTAACCTATGGCATCATAGTGTAACTTACCTTCCGATTAAGAACTAAAGTAAGGGGCCATTTGACACTGTAGTTGAAGGAGAAAGCTTCTAAACCAGACAAATTGAATTCTGCTGGGTTAGCGTGTTTGGCTGCAAAAGACAAGAAAAAATTGAAAAACTATGATGACTACAGAAAGTGAAAAGATGGGTTAGGTAACAACAACACCTAATTTCAAATAAAAAAAAATACAAAACTTAAAAAGTAAATGGGTCAAAAGGTCAAAATGTTAATTCTTTATTTTACTGGTAAAGAGAAAATTGAATGCATTATTCCAATCCAAAAAATTATTTACACCATTTTACATGATATATTTCTAAACTTTAATGCTTCTATTCTTTAGCTGAGTTGACAATCTAACCTAATGGCTAAAAGAAATCATCAGTGCTGTTTGAATTAAAAGAGAATACTACAATAGCCAAGAAGATCTGATTCTAAATGATTTTAGAAAAATTCTTAAGGAAATCAGTTATCACTTGCCCTGTTATAACTGTAAACATTTAATATAGATACATTATTAGTAACCTCTTAGATATAACGTTATTTATATGTCAACTTTTCAACATATAATTAAAACAAAAAAATAAGGTTACCACTCTTTAAGGAATGAGTACATAATTCCAAACGTGAAGTTTGAAAATTTTTAAAGCAGAAATTAATACCACTTCAAATTGCAACAATATGAATAACTAATGCTACAATAATTACTTTCTTGATTAAATTCCACTCAAACTTTAGAAGTAATTAAGAAATAGTAAAAATTAAAATAAAGTTTTCTACTTAAAATTCTTCAAAAATATCCTTACAAGAAACCATTACAATTATTAATATTGAAAAAGTGCTGAACCACTATGTGTATGGCTGATAAATTAAAATGCAATACACAAAGAAAATAATTATAATAATCATCAGATAAAAAGTAAAAATAAAATAAATGAATAAAAAAACAGAGAATTCACCTTTTTCTGTCTAATTTGCAAGCATGCTGTGTTAAATAAGCTATATGTAGAAGTACTGAAAAATTCTCAACCCTACCAAAAAAGGCAATCAAAACAATTCTATTTGGTCAGATTTTGGAAAATAGATAAGGCTGAGAACTTTTCAGTACAGCCTTATATTTCAAATTTATTAAAAAACTAATCTATTTTTTATAATACACTGAAGTGAATAATTAACTGATGTTACAGTAAATCTTGATTGTCCATTATTAAAGGCATAAATAAGACAGAAATTAGCAATAAAAAGTATTTTACACTATAGAAACATGAAGATAAACAATTGTGTTATGAAATGACAAGAGAGTTACTCTTCTGAGAAAGAAAAAGATCAAGTTGATAAAAAGGATAACTAAAACAACTGATGCTTGGGCAAAACAGAGCATGTCTTACCTTGCAGAATGTCATAGAGTTGAGAGATAAGATCAGTCTTTTGGAATTGGATTCTGTGAAAGAAAATTGACAAAAAAGAAAAATTAATTCTATCTTTAGTCAAGTTTCAATTTAGGAAAGAACATAAATAATGCTGAGGAGTGAATGCCATTTTTGATTTATACTGAATAATTACTTCAGTTCTTAGAAAATGAAAAACCTTATTTATTTGGCATGTCCAAGGTAGATTATTAAATTTGTTTGTTGTTTTGGGGTTTTTTACTTTACTATTAAAATAAAATTCAATTTTTTAATAAAAACAAACATGAAAATGATTCACATAACTTTAATCTTTAATATTAATTGATCAAGTTAATTCTGGATTTTTTTAAAGTTTGCAAATTGTATGTCTATTGAGATAAAGTACCTGGCCCAATGTTGTTCTTGGGTATGATGCACAAGCCATTAAATCTTCTTGACATAATTTACAAAAAAAAAAAAAAAAATCTAACACAAATAATCATTATATAGGAATTTATGGGCCATAATTTATATTTCAAATGACTTATTTCAAATCAGCCAAAAGAGACTTATGTTTAGAAAAATAATAATAAAAAAATATTTAGAGAATAAAAGCTATTCCTGCTGAAGTGTACCCACCTTAAATCATCTTTGAAAGGATCAACATTGGCTGTGCTGGTTCGGAGTGCCAATTCTAATAATGTCTCCATCCGTCTTGTACTGATACCTAAGGTAGTATTAAGGTGATCAACAAAACATTAAGTAATAATAGAGGAGGTAAAAAAAATTACGTGTCAGCCACAATGAAAGCAAACATTTAAAAATTTTGGGAGAATAAAATCTTCAGAATGATAAAAAGAAAGAATTCCTTCAAAATCTATTTATTCAATTGGTTGTGTTTTTGATAAATTCAAATTTTAAACTTGATTAAAACCTTCATTTGTGGCAAATTCAATATCATAGTAGAAAGTGAGTGCTTGTGAGTGTGTGTATGTATATATAAAACAAGTTTTGGAAAGTTTAACTGACAATGTTTGGCTGTTTCATTTTTTATTATATTTTTTAATTCGCAGAGTTCTGGATCTTACTGGAGTTAGGGCCCTTGAATCTTTTTTTTTTTTTTTCATTACACAACTCATTCATTGCAACCACAATTTTTTAAATTTTTAGTGGAAATTGTTTAAAACAGTTCAGATTTCTATAGAATATTTTAAAGTTATATGTATTTTCTGCATGGTTGTAAATTTTAATTTTTATTCTTTATTTTAGGAAAATCTTTTCAAAATAAAAACATAAAAAAACTTGATGTTCAGTAATAAAAACAATACAAAAGTCAATAGTTTTTATGAACAAAATAATACCACCAAGTTTGCAATTTAGAGAAAATAGGGATTTCCTCCCATGTATCTATGATACCTTGTATCAATTCCTCCAAAGTGACACATCAGATGTTGCTATTGTATACATCTCTTGCCATCATTCCTCCAAACATTTTCTCAATGACAGAAATCTAGAGACAAGGTAGGCCATTGTTTTGCTAAAAAAACAATATTTCCCTTTCTTCTCTTTTGATAGCTTTGGGATCAAGCAATGTTCTAAAATCTCTTGATACTAAAGTGCTGTCAAAGTTCTGTTAAGAAAAAAAGAAAAACTAGACAACGTAGTCCACAGCTTGTAAAACTACCTCTGATCATAATTCCCTCCACCACCAAACCTATGAGCAACATATGGAAATCATACAAAAAAAGCTGTATTAATCAGACCTGTTAAGATTAAGCAATTTTCATCTGTGCAGATCATCTTCTGTAGATTAGATGTTCTTTAAGAATTATTTCTGTCCACTGGCATTTGGCTTTTTGTGGCATTTAGCAAAAATGGTTTCAGCTTAATTTGCATCAGTACTACAGGAGAGGTACTGGTCAAGTTGTTGTGAACTGAAAACTTTGATACTTGCTGTATCTGGTTTATTGCTTACAACATCTCTTACAAATCGTTATCTAGTCCACTTTGAAATCTTCATATTCTTGCCAACTTTGCCATGAATACCAATATTCCTCAAAGAGTTGCAAATTGCAATGAATTCCTAAGATTTTCATACTTTTATAGAAGGCTTGGCAGCTTTCAGAAGGATCTTAGAGTATTATCATCACCTAGTTCTGCTCCATGTAAGAATACATTTTTTTTCTAAAACAAACAAGGAACATTTCAGCATTATAAAAGAAATCTTCTAGGGAGCTCTTAAATCTCAGAATTACAAAAAGCATCAAATTCACATGTTTTTTTACTATTGCTGGACACCAAGAAATGAGATTTAATTAAAAAACTGCTCTTATCTGAATATTAGCTATTTAAAAGCTTATTTGCAGGTCACTTATACATACACAACACTCTTTGAGAACAACAATTTTTGTAATGTTCTGAAAATTTCTAAAACAGAGTGAAGAAAAGAGAGAAAGTTTACAGCCTTTATAACAAAACCTGTTTTATTTGGAAGATTAAATTTATAAGCTAAAGTTCTGTGCTTAAATATTTTCAGTCATTATTAATTGACTAGTGTCTTTATGTTTTTTGTTTTACCTGGTTCATTCTCCAGCCTTCCTTAGGTGTGTGCATGGCATAATAAAAAGGACTAAAATTGGACCTAACAGTGTTCAAAACAAAATAGATAAAGAGACAAGACCACATAATCTATAGTATAATGAAAACACAGAATTTTAGATAATTACAAAGGAAAATCCTTTAATTTGTATTGTATTGATGGATAGTATGTACATGTTCCACTTGAGGTCTGGGTTGAATTTAAGTCCAAATAGATACTCAAAAGGAACATCTGTTAATCGTGATTAGTAATAGTTCAGGGTCCATTTAGTGATGATGGAATGTCAGTAGTTTGGCTTTCGAGGCACTGAATGTGACCAGCCAGTTTCTACGCCCCCCAATGAGCAATTAAAGCTAGGTCAAGCTCTGGTCATCTAGAGTTTTTTTTGGAGGATATACTGTTGAATCATCACCATAGATATTCACAAATGATCAGAGTATACTCTTAGGCAGATCATTTATGTAAAGTAGTGTTGATTTCCCATTGGAGATGTGAAAGGAATGGTTGCAAAAGTTTCCCCCCTGCCTCTAATAATGCATGCTGGTATATTTTTCTTAGCCAATAAAATGGAACTGCTTGCATTTTGACATGACTCAATCCAGATCTGGAAACTTAGGCAATTCACAGTTGACTTGTTGAACTCTCTGCCTTCGGACAGAGAGGAACCCAGACAAGGCTATGCTGAAGGGCAGAGTCGTGTCTGGAGAGGTAGACAAGTCCAACCCCATGAATGTGATGTCTACAGGGAATTTTATGCCCAGGCCTACGGGCTCAGAATCAATCTACGTAAAAAACGGCCTTGTGTCACATACTGCCTTGTGGGGTGGCTAAGGTAAATAACCTCAATCCAGATCTGCCTTAACTACTAAACAGACCTACAGTGTTCACTTGTCAAACTTGCTTTTGTGTACAAACACCAACTCCTAATTTGTGAATTCTTTTGCCTTCTTATCAATTTTGATTTGCTTTATTATTGTTTGCTTACTTGCATGATTGTTGCTGTTTCATCTTTTTGACCTTTTTCTTTTCATTGCAAACTTTATTAATTCTGATAGTGTTATTTATCTTGCACTTTAACAATGGTTTCTAACTCATCAGAAGGTTGAACCAAGAAGCAAACCTTGGGAAAAACCTGCATTGATCACCAGGGCCTCAGAGGACTGGCCATTAACAACTAGATTCAGGGAAGGACTTTATAATTAAGAAAACTCTTCCAGTGATTCCCTAGCTAGAGAGCTTGAACAGTAATCTTTTATGCCACCCTTTAAAATATCTAATGTGATTATCCTTGAGATGTATTTGTTGTCTAGTGCCTCACTGATTTTATGAGTAATGACAGCTGAGATATCAGCAGTGGATTGAGTCAACTGAAATCTATACTGCTTGTCACTAAAGAGGTTGTTCCTATTGAGATGATCAACAGCCTTCTTGTTGATTATAACGTCAAAAGGTTTTCTAATTGCACTGAGAAGACGGATGCGTCTATACTGAGAGGAATGAGTGCCTACCTGCATTCTTGAAAACCAGGCATATACCTAACACTTTCCACAGACTTGGAAAGGATTTCTCCTTCAAACAGCAATTAAATAATTTTGCTAAGATTGGGGATAACACTGTGCTGATATTCTTAAGTACAACCACTGAGATTTTGTCTGGACCAGTGGCCTTTTCTGGTCATGACTTTTGATAAGTTTTGAAACTTCCCAGTCTGTAATAAAAATACTACTGAGATTGTGCTCAGTGCAATAGAAGTCAGGAAGGGGGATGTCTTTTGTCATCTAAAGTTGAGTTAGAGAAAATGATCAAAGGAATTTATAGTCTCTAATTGAAAATCTGTTATGATGATCATATTTAGTGACTAATATCTGAACTCTCCAAGGGGATCAACTCTGTTCAATTACGTCTTCATTTTTGATAATGTTTTCATTTTCCTTTTAATATCTCTGAGACTTGATGGCTCACATTTTCCACCCCGGCATTAAACTGTGAAAATAGTGAGAAAGTCACTTTCACTGTCATCAGTCCACACACTATGAGAGTGGATCATTTTCCTCCATTATTTCCACTTTCAAATGATGCCTGTAAATCTTCACCCGATATAAGATCAGCACACATCCATTATCAGTGAAATTTTATAGCATAAGTACCACTGTTTATGCACCAATAAATCCCCTTGGCCCTTTCCAAGTGATAGCTAATTGCAAATTTGATGATACTTACTGATACACTGGTTGGATATGCCTGCAAGTATAGGATTGCATTCACTTTCTTGTCAACTGTTAATACTCTCAAAATCTATCAGAGT